ACATCATGACTTTGTAGTAATAGGATATTTTAAATATAACAAGACTTTGAAGCTAATATCTAGAGATTTTTAGTAGCTGCAAATGTAGAAGGCTATAAAAGACTTTGTTTAATCATGTGACATTTGTTCAAGGTTAAAAATACCTTGTCATCGATCTTATGGACTTCTTCAGCCATTACCTATTCTACAACAACCATGGTCTTCAATTTTTATGGATTTTATTACGGATCTTCTAGTTTCAAAATTGTGTGATTCTATATTTGTGATAGTAGATCATTTTTATCAAAATGGCACATTTTGTATTATGTATAAAATCTATCACACATGAAGAAATTGCTAAGTTTTTTTTTTGACAATATCTATTGATATTGTGGATTGAAAAAAGATATTAAATCAGATAAGTAGACTCAATTTGTATTAAGATTTTGGAGAACTTTTTTTAAGATTCTAAAGATTGACATAAAGCTTTCTTTGGCCTTTCATCCTCAAACTGATGGACAGATAGAGTGCGTAAACTAAATTTTGGAACAATACTTAAGGTGAACCATCAATTATCAACAAGATGATTGGAGAACCTTTTTGCCATTGGCAGAGTTTGCTTATAATAATACAATGCATTCTTCTATGCAAAAAATATTTTTTTTATCAATTATGATTACCATTAATAATTTGATACTTTTAACTTTTTAAAAGTTGATAATCCTATGGCAAAAGGTTTGGCAAATCATTTGTCATAGCTACATGCAACAATGAAGGTGCAACTAAAAGAAGTTCAAGAATAACAAAAGATCAATGTGAATGCCTATTGAAAGGAACAACCATGATTTAATGTAGGTGACAAGGTATGGTTATTTTGTTGTAATATCAAGTCTACTCATCTTTGTGATAAGTTAGACTATCGCAAGCTTGGATCTTTTCTTATTTGTGGAGAAATCAATCTACTTATTCATCGATTATATCTATTGGAGGTAATGAAGATCTATCTTATCTTCCATGTGTTTTTTTTTGAACCATACAAGACTATGAACATACCAAGAAGAAGACAAGTTCTACCTCCTCTTATAGAAGTAAAAAATAATGAAGAGTTCAAAGTAGAAGAAGTTTTAGACTTAAGGCAATGCCAAAATAAATTGAAATATCTTATCGATTAGCACAGATATGATATTAGTGAATGCACATAGAAGCTAATAAAGAATCTTCTAAATATAATAAAGATAATGGAAGCTTTTTATTGATGATATCTATCAAAATCAAGATGAAGAATAATAAGTCTTTGCTATAAAAGAAACAAGGTCTATGAAAGATTGTATTCTACTTTCTATCTTTATTTAATATTTTTATATATTTATAACATTAAAAAAATAGAGAATCAAAAACCAACAAATTTGACTCAAAAACCTTTATTTGTTGACTTTTTAGACGAGGCATTATGATTGTCACAACCTTCAAGATGATACAATCAAGATGAAGATCTTCAAGAATGATATTTTTTTCATTGAATAGATGGCAAGATACAATGCGATTGATACCACGACCTTGGAAGGGCTCTCAATGTTTGGTGATTTTACTAAAGGTAGAAACAACTCTTGACGATGTTTTCAATGTTTTATTTGAAGGAAGTTATGAAGGCATGAATAATAATTAAATAATTGGGTGATCTTCTTGCCTTAGTATGGGACACTATTGATGGTTAAGAGGTCCTATCAACCATCTTCAAAGAGAGTAAAGATCAGAGTATGTCGCAAATATAATTTATTACATCTTAGATTTTTTCAATATATGATGATCGCTCTTTATAGAAATCGTCCCTAGAAGAAGGACTAATATCATGGACATATACATGTAAACTAATAATTATCTATATGATTAAATAAAAATAAGTAAAAATAAGTTAATTCTATAATATATTCTTTAGAAGCTTCTTAGAAGCTTTATAGATGTTGCTTTGACTTTGTAGGTGTCTATAATTAATTTTTAAGTTAAAAACATAGTCAAAAAATTGGCCATGTGACACATATATTGGTAGCTTGAAGAACAAGCTAATTATATGGTTCACATATAGAAAACTTGCCTTATAAGCTAAAACATGTATTTTGCAAAGTCAACACATATTAGAGGTCCTATAGAATATTGCCATATAGCTCCTAGTTAGATAGTATACATAGATGCAAGAATGAAGCCCTCTTCACTCTTATCAATTCTTTTCTTGCTTCTAGTCTAGATTTAAGAGTCTCTAGTTTCTTTGTCTTTTTGCAGTAGCCATTCTAATTTCTTTTTAATATGCATATTTTTTATTTCTATTTTTTTATATTTTTTTATTTACTTTCATTAAGTTCTTATCTTTCACACAAGGTGGCACCAAAATATATTAGAATATTCTGTTTATTGATACAAATAGGATATTAATAAAAACACATGGCAGCCAATAAAAAATATTACAAATGTAGCAAATAAAGTTAATGCTTTTTATTGACAACATCCATCCAAATAAAGACAAAAGATAGCAAAACTTTTCTATAAAAGAATTACAATTTAAAAGAGATTGTATTCTATCTTCTATCCTTATTTGTAGTTTCTATGTATTTGTGGCACTAATGAGATGAAATATCAATAATTAGTAGATTCAACTCGAGAGCTATTATCTGCTAAGTCACTAGACAAGACATTGCAATTGTCTTAATCTTCAAGATGATACAATAGAGATGAAGACCCTTAAGAATAATATGTACTTTCTTGAATAGATGGTGAGATACAATGTATTTGATATCACAACCTTAAAAGAGACTCTTAATGCTTGGTGATATTATTCGAGTTAAGAACCACCTTTGACGATATTTCAAATGGTTTATTTGAAAGAATTACAAAGGCCTCAATAATAATCGAATAATAGGGTGGTCTTTTTATCTTAAAATGGGACATTATTAATAGTTGATAGGACTTATCAACTACCTTTAAAGAAAACAAAGATTAAAAAATGTAGCAAATATAATTTGCCACATCTTCGACTTTCTCAACATATGATTGCCACTCCTTGTAGAACTTATCCTTAAAAGAGAGGTAATATCACAGACATACATATTTACCTAGATAAGAAGTATTAAATAGAAGATTAATGTAGCTAGATTTGATATTATCTTATGGAAAAGCTTCTTAGATGTGTTGATTGATAGGCTGGAAACTTTGCCAACAAATTGGCTATGTATCTCATGTCTTAAAATCTTGTGGTACAAGCTAACTACATGGTGCATATAAAAAAAACTTGTCTTACAAGTTAGACATATGTCTCACAAGTTGGACACGTATTAAAGGTCCTATAAAACGTCACTACATAACTTTTAATTAGATAATATATATGGAGGCAAGAATGAAGCCTACTTCACTCTTCTAAATTCCTTTTGAGTACTTAGTCTTATTTCAAGATTTTCTAATCTTCTTTTCTTTGGCAATAGCCATTCTAATTTCAATACTATATTAGTTTTGAGTGAATATCTATTCTTTTTGAGTTATATAAGAGTGTATTGAGTTTTTAGTTCTTTCAAGATTCATGTCCTTAACAAGTAAAAGATTTAAAAGAAAAATATAATCATTATTTTTTTTAGTATTTTTTTTTCTTAATTTTTATAAAACATATATTTTTCTTTTTATATTTTGGATATTTTTACAATAAAAATTTTAAACTTGATATATTCAAAAAAAATTATTCTTTATATTATTTTTTCTTTATTCTTTAAAAATAATAAAATATATATGAATATATATATATATATATATATATAATATTTTATTAACTTATTATAAATCTTTTTATAGAAAAATATTATTAGATTTGAATTTAAATATAAAGAGAAACATCTTAGTTTTATAATTTAAGTTCTAAACTTTTTAAAAAAATCACTTGTATTTTGCTAAGGTAAAAGAAAGGTATATCATACAGATTTAGTAAGTATATAAAAATAATGATACCTTGGTGAATCTATGGTTTTTCTTTTATAATCCACAAACATATAAAACTACTCACAATTGAGGTGGTATAAATATACAAGTTATAATATAAAGCATTTTATAAAATATTTTGAAATATTTAAAAACCTTACAAATGTTTTGTAAAACTTTCCATAAATGGTCAAAAACCTAAGACTCTTCAAAAAAAAATTCTTTAAGATTCCAAAATCTTCTATTGTTGTCCAAATGTTTTTGTGAATCTTCTATAGTCTTCTAGAAGCTTTTATAACTAATCAAGACCTAGTCAATTAATTTAGAAGTTTTCACAAAGATTTTTTGACTTTTAAATATTCTTTGATTATTAGAATTTCCCTTTGAAATTTCTACAAGATCAAATTGCTGCGTCATAATTAAAATAACAAAACATTAAATATCTCAAACTTACAAACTGAAGTTTTGAAACAATCCAAGTATCTTGTTACTAATCTTGTATTTATAATTATTTTTAATCCAATAACTTGTTCCTCTTACAATTCTTAATCCATTGATCCTTTACCTTTTCTCGTTGATATGGATTTGTATCTCTATAATAAGATAAAAAATAAAGTAAAATAAACAAAAAAAAACATGTGTCATAATTTAAATATTGCTTTAAGGTCCTAACTGCCTACTTAAATTGACAAAAACTGTTTAAAATAATTGTACCTGATATTTATTTATTTTATTTTACAAACTAGTAACTGGACATTTAATTTTTTTTAATTTGATGTGACATTAATTTCAATCATCATTAATTATGATGATTAATGAATGACTAATGCTAGTATCAACAAAACATTTTTGAACACAACAAAGTTTCATACTAAAGACAAAACATTGAAGATGGCCTGTCACCGAGCAACGCAACTAAACAATGGTGGTTCCAGGTTGGGGAACCGAGTCAAGGATCTCGGTGGTAGGCCACCTGGGTATATGGTGGAGGGTATCTAAGCGGGTATAGATAGGGGTAGGAGAAGGGAGGGGGTCATTGAAAATTATTCCTACTAATCAGAGTGGCCATGTATTCTTGAGACTTATTGCTGAACGATGAAGATCATATCCTGCTGTTGCTGCTGCGACTCAATCGCGAGTTTGCTTCACAATTGCCGGCGATGTCGATGGGATGGTACCGCACTCTTCTGCCTCTGTGCATCTTGACGTTGCTCGCCGCTTCCGGTAATGCTCTTCTATCCCTTGCGATGATGTCTTTTTCGCTTTGGTCGGTGGGCACCAAACTCTTGTGTTTGTGACCCCTTTGAAGGAACCTCGTTTAGAGTCGAGGTTACTTATGGTCCCGATGCGCCTCTCCGCTGGTGTTTCTCCTGTTCTTCATGTTAGCGATGTGCGTTTGTTAGTTGATCTACCTTTTTTTTTGTAATTTTTGAATTTTGATTTTTTGATTATATATATATATATATATATATATATATATATATTGTGGAGGTCTCAATTGGCTTGTTAGGTTAATGGAGTCTAGGATCTACGTGAATTTTGTATGCAGAGTCCAGATCCTTCGGAAATTCTTAACATCTCACGAGTAGGATTGTTTGTATCGATTTGGAGTGGTGGAAAGGCTGTGTACTTTTTCAGTGAGGAAATACGAGGTGGTTCATGAATGTTAGGGTTAGTACATACGACGTAAGTTGATACTGGAAGCTGAGTGTTCGTGTGCAAACGTGTAGTGCAAATTATCTGATGTGAACAAATTTAAGGTCCTGTCATACATTTTAAAGCTTTGTGTGGATTACACGATGGTTAGTCGGTCATTTGGGTCTCGTGGCGTGACACGGTCGATAGCGCGTTATTTGTAAGCTTCTCGGAGTGTGTTCCGATTTTTGAAACTTCAGGAGGGAGATTTCACGGTTTTCATATGTAGGATTTTTTACAATTTTGAAGTGTTTGGATTCGTTTTTGTGTGTTTCTATAGACATTTGATTTGCTCTCCATTAAGTGCCGCATATAGTTTCCTTCAAGATTCATTTATCTAACACGATTGGTTTAGACAGCTGTGCATTTGATGTTGACAATTCCATCTTCGGCTCAACAACTTCCTAACTTCAATACTCTGATTTTCTTCTACAGGTGCTGCCGCAGATGGGAACGTTACATTACAGTCGTTAACAATCTTTAATACGCACGAATGGTTTGGACAAAAACCTAACGTGTATTTCCAATGTCAGGGCGAAGACAGGGTGGACTTGCCTGATGTTAGAGCGAAGGATCAACTTTATACTTTCCTGGGAGAGGAATCTTGGCAGGTAGCGTACTACTCACGTTTGGATGTCGAAGAAAATGATTGACTATACTAAATTGTTTACTTCCTAACAGGCAAGAACAAAAGTGATACTGATCACAGTCCATTCACGCTGTGATTTCTTGAAGGGCGAGACGTTCAAACCTCAACTGCTTTAGCTTACAAGAGTGACATTTGTTATGTGAAGAGACTTCTATATGGACGGATTATGTTGTGTATACGATTATGACCCGTGTTGGCTTGAGCTATTTTTGCAGCCTCTCACAAGATTGGTAGGAAAGAAATGCAAGCGCTGCGGAATTTTCGAGAAGGATACGTTTAAGTCAGATGACGTATTTGATCAATGGGAGCTTTGTCCATTGAATTTCACACCAAGTCCAGATGGGCTTTATCATCGTTTTAAAGAAAATGAGTTTAACCTCACGTTCACATGCCCAACCTGCAGTAAGTTCAACAGCCTTTGATACTGGCATCCAGTCTAGTTTCTTCTACTGTCATCACATAATACTAGGACGATATTCCAGATAATACTGATCGTATGAGGAGCTGCCGTTATTTGTAACTTTTAAGGTAGTTCCTTTGTTGTTGAGAATGAAAAATGATCCCGAGGTAGAGTTCTGCTAATTGAATTTGGGATGGTGTTCTGTCAGATGTGGTGGCATCCGAAGAAGTGGAAGCAGGTGAACCCGACAGTGGTCCTGAGAAAAAGGAGAAGAGCCATGGTCATGAGTTAATAGCTGTGATTGTTGTATTTGCACTATTATCACTGGGAGGGTTCGCCTTTGTTGCTTATAGCGGATGGCGTCGGAAACAAAGGGAGATGCAGCAAGCACGATTTATCAAATTGTTTGAAAGTGATGACTTTCTTGATGATGAGCTGGGGCTGAAGGATGACTTATAAGTGAATCTTTCAAACTACACCCAATTCTGGCTTCACAAATTTGGCCTTCATCAAGTAGGATGAAGGATGCCTCCTCTGTTGCTGGTGAATTGGGACCCTCTGCATCTCTTGTTACCTGATTATTTTCCTCTGAGCAGGTTAGTACTCAAGTAGTTGTAGAATCACAATGTGCTGGAAGGATTTCCTGATGGAGGGCCTGCTTGATAAGAGAATCAGCCGAGTGTCATTTACACTGAAAAGATTACTTCGAGGCATTTCAACTGATCAGGGTGCATCATGGAGAGCTTTATACATAATGCCATGCATTTTGAAGCTTTTGTAATTAGGGGAGAGTTGAAGACGGATGTTTTATTTGCTCTTGTGGTACATATTCTACTGTTCGATGGGAGAATAGTGGCCTTGAATAGCATAACCATAGTTTTGAGGGGAAATCCCTCTGGAGTAAAATTTCCAACTTGTACTTAGAATATTGTAACAAAAGAGTCTACTTCCATTAATAATCAAAATGACAAGAATGGATCAGGATTTGAAAGGAACGTGTAAACCTAGTCTTTAACTGTAATCGATTATCTATGTGGTATGATGGACATTCAATTGTTAATGGAATAAAAAATTTGTTGGGTTATGAGGCAATTGAAAGGTGAAGTTGATGACTTTAGCATAGATCCACATATGTGTAATTGTTGGTGGTGCAAATGTTCATTGTTCATTGTTCACATCACTTCAATATATTTGATAGAACATTGAAAATTGACCTTTTGATTGAGGAGGTTGAAAACTTTCAATATTCTTGCTTAATTTGGATGATATTGAGCATTAATATATGATTCAATGCATATGATCTAAGAGACAAAGCAAGTGAACAATGTCAAAGGATTGAAGATCAAGGGTGATAAAGTATCTACATGGCAATTATACATTGTTGGTAAGGCTTATAGAATTTTTTTTTCCTATAAGCATAAGTATATTGTAGTAGTGTTTGATCTTGGTTATTTTTATTCAACTAATTTTAGTAGCACCAAATGATTACTTGTATGAAATGTCAAATACTTTGGTTATTATAGTCTTGTATTTTTTTAGACTAAAGACCATGTGCATATTACTTACAATACCTATGAAGCAAAGACATAGAAGAAAACCAATAGAAAGATGAAAACTTTTGTTATTAATCAAGGCACTAAATTCTTCAAACATTAATTAGGTTTGCACTTTAAGGTTGAAGGCATTTGACACATGATTATTTTAATGATTATTGAAATGAGATCGTTGGCATGGTAGGACAAATAATGTAGACCATCTTTGAAGCAATACAAATATTTTTAGACAATGTTAAGTTGGATTGTTGATATTAGGTGTTTCTACCAAGTATATGACTTAGACTGGCAATCACCTTCTACTTGTAATACTTAGTTGTAAGACACTACATTAAATTTTTTTTGGTGAAAAATCTTTTGTTGAATATGCTTGTCATTTTGATTGTCCTACTTGGTATCACATACTAATGGAGAAGTGTCAAAAGCTTGTTGCAAAGGAAAAAAAGAATAACTTTGTTGAATATTTGGATGTGATAAAATTATACAAGATTTTTCTACTTCAGGAAAAAAAGATGATTTTCAATGAAGATGTGGTTTTCCTTGATGACAAAGATGAAGATTTTGATAAACCAATGACTCTATAAGATAAGAGTGGTAGAAATGAGAATCATAAAAACAAGCTTGGTTAGTTTGGTCTTTAATATTTGGATAGATGGAAAATACCTAAACTTCAAGCCTTTGGATCAAAAGTCCATAAAGGATCTAGTAAAAAAATGTTTGGTGTTAATACAAGCTCTAAATCAATGAATGTAGTGGAATTACATTAATTAGAAGTAAAGGTAATTACTTAAGTTCTACCACCAAGACGTCATAACATAGGTGGAATTGATTCAAAAAATATTATAATTAATAGTAAGATATATTACATACTTTACAAAAATAACAACAATTTTTTTTGAAGAAATTATGATTTGCCAATTGAAATAGTAGATGTTGTTCACGCTAACAAATAGATAGAATTAGAAATTTTTTGAGTAAGCCATGAGTTCATCCTTTAGGAAGAAGTAGAATCATACCATGAAAGAAGAACTTGATTCTTTGAGAAATCATGGTACATGGGAGTTTTTAGTTCTATTGGATATCAAAAATGCTATGGATTCAAAATAAGATTTTAAAAAGAAATTTATTAACAATAGTTTCATTCTAAGCCAATATCAAGATTATTAAGATGTTTTTGAAAAGAATAATGCTGATATTCTTTCAAAGCATCATTCTTATAATTGCTCAATTGATTTTGAAGAAGGAGCTTAATTGCGATTTGGACCAATCTAAAATTTATTGCAAAATGAGTTGGTTGAATTCAAGAAGTAAATTGATGAAAATTTGACTAAAAATTTCATTTGCCATTCAAAATCTCCACTAGAAGCCTTTATCTTATTTGTGAAGAAAAAAGATGGATCATTGCAGATATGTATAGATTATCAAAGATTCAACAAGATTATTGTTAAGAATAAAAATATTTTATCTTTGATATCATGACTTTTTGATGAATTAAATTAAGGTAAGATCTACACTAAAATAGATCTATGAGGAGCATATAACCTGATATGCATCAAAAAAAGAGATAAATAGAAGATAATATTTTGAACTAAGTATGGGCATTTTGAACATAATGTCATACTTTTTGGATTCACAAATGCCCTAATTACTTTTCAACATCTTATGAATGATGTCTTTTGAGAATTTTTAAATGATTTTATTGTCTAATATTTAGATGAAATCTTAATCTATTCTAAGAATACAAAAGAGCATAAATATTTTTGTATCATACAAAAATTTAGAAATACATGATTATAAGCCAAGATAAAAAAAAGTACATATTTTAAACTACTCAGGTTGACTTTTTAAGATATATCATTTCAAATGATGGCATTATGATGGATTCTAAGAAAGTTCAAAGTAATATGAATTGAAAGGTTCTAAAAACAATAAGAGATGTTTAATTTTTTTAAAAAAATTTGTGTTATTATGAAATCTTTATCAAGAATTATTTTGAAGTTACAGCTCCACTTATACATTTGACATATAAAGACAAACTTAAGTAGAACAAAGAACCCAAAGTATCTTTTAAAGCCTTGAAGTGTCACAGATATACTATAAAGAAGATTAAATAAGAAATTAAATATAAGAGTTTCAACAAGAAAACTAGCATGAACTTGATTAAACCATATGAGTATAAGATCAACACCAAGAAAGGTGAGCTAGAACTCTAAGAGGTGTGTTATTAAGATTGAAGATTCTTTCAACCTCAATTCCAATATATACTAAGTAATATGAAGCTTCTTGAGAAATTTCTAAATTACTTGGAGACAAAGCAATCTTAGGATCTTTTTTGGACAACTTCTTAAACATTTGTAGAACTTTTTAAAATCTATTCGAATATTTTAAAACCTCTTTAGAATCTTCTAAAATATTCTAAGAATAATTTTGGAATATTCTAAAATATTCTAAAATCTTTTAAATACTAATAAGATATTTTAAAAATATTAAAAATATTCTTATCAAATATTTATAACATCACTTTTTTTTTTCTAATTTTGCATAATTTTTAAATATGATAATATAATTTTTAATGCAAAGTCATAAGCATTAGTCTCCAAATATAAGACCTTTATGAAATTAAAATATATTAAGATTAAAGTTGTAATAAAAGTTACCTTTAAATCTTAAAATAAAAACCTTAAGTATAAAGGACTTTTTACCATCTTGATTAAGAATAGATTATCCCTTTTTTTTTTATAAAACTTAAGTATATTAGGAGTTGCGGATTATCCTCTTCTAAATTGATATTGTCCTTGGTATTTTTTCTTTGTTTTGAAGTCTTTTCCTCTATTTGTCTTGAGTGATATTACACATCTTCTCATTTTTAAGTGTTATTATAGCAAAGCTTTTTATAATAAAGAGAGTAATGGCATAAATACAAGTGTAATTGAGAAAGTTAATACTTGTGATGCATCAACTCAATATACTATCATAGGGAGCAATAAAAATAGTAGGGAGTAAAGATATAGAGATGATTGGAGCTACTTCAACATATGTATCAAATCATGTCATTTCTCTAATGGTAGAATATCCATCTAGTATAACAGAACCAAGAGTTGCATTGCTTGAGAAGTTTGATGGCATAAGATCCAAGTTTTGAGGATTTATCAATCAAGTATAATTTGTGATTGAACTTCAACTTAAAAGCTATCCAATTCCAAGATCACAAATTAGATTCATTGATATATTCTTTCCAAGTTTAGAATTATCATAGTTTTCATCTTTTTTTGAATGACGAGATCTAATATTGGATAATTTAAAGTTTTTTTTTAACAAAGTTTTGATCTGTGTATAGAGAATATGATGCAATTTGTGTTACAACCAATAAGATTCATATTTTGTAACAAGATAATTGATTAGTAACGTTATATGCTTCATAGTTTTGACAACTTACAACTAATATTAAATGAAATGATGTTGCAGTTATTAGCCAATTTTTCTACAGATTATAATATGAGGTAAAACAATTGATGCTCAACTTACTTGATCTTCAAATATTCAGTCAAGCAATTGACTTTGTTATAAAGTGTGACAATTGCCTTTTTGAATTTTGATGTAAGAGTTATACAAGTATACCTGAACATTACTATAATTCAATAACAATACCAATGTCTTTTCAATACATACATTTGAAAGTAGAGGATATGAAAATTGATGTGGTATGTTTCAAACCTCTTATTGAGCAAAAAAGACTTGTGTTGTCAGGAAGGATTGTACTTATATTGTAGAGAATCTAAGTACATTGCTCAATATTGTCCAAAAAAGTGGCACAATTACAAAATGAGAAGTAAGGCCATCAAAAAGATAGTATGTCAAAAAACAACTTTGTTTAGCTACAATAAAGACTATGTGGTTGAAAACTTATAGAATACTTAGTGAAGGTCCTAATCTCTCTTTATAACCCTCTCTTTGTTTTACAATAAATGTTATTTTAGGACCTAAACATCACAAAGCGTTTGCCTTGTTAGATTCAAGAGCCTCAATTTATTTTTTAGATGAAGAATTTGCTAAAACATATAATATATCTTTAGTAAAAAAAAATTAAACTTATTCATGTAGAAGTCATAGATAGTCGTTTATTATCTTTAAGAAATATTACTGATAAAATCTTTCCTATAGAAATAACAACTAATGGTCATGGTAGCTTTGTAATATTTAATATCATTAAATCTTCCTTTAATCTAATCATTTTAGGTTTATTATGGCTAAAAAAATATAATCCAAAAATAAATTAAACTTTTTGTAGTCTTAACTTTTTTAAAAAGTACATTTAGAGTATAGTGGATTAAGTAGAAAGTCATAAGTTTAGTATAATTAAACTTATATTTTTAGGTATAAGAGCTTTCTTGCATGTTACAAAAGAATGATTACCTTGTATCATTTATGCTGCACTTATTTCTAATGGTGGAAAGATTTTAAGTGAAATTTTAAGCCAATATGAAGATTTTAAAGATGTATTTGAAAAGAAGAATGCAGATACTCTACAAGA